CCCCCTGGTGGGCTGAGCTGGCCACACACACACACACACACACACACAAATAAAAATTTAAAAAAAAAAACAAACTTAATTTTAGTATACTAGGTGGCCTAGCAATGAATACTTACCAGGAGCATAATGATGTCATACGATACAGTTAGCCAACAGTTGTGTTAAATAATACTAAAATATTGTGAAGGGATTTCAGGTCAAAATAATATAAATAGATGATAAGAAGTGGTGTCTAAAATTAATAATCAAGAGGGCTAGAGATATAGCTCAGTGGCACAGAGCCTGCCTAGCAAGCATGAGGTCATGAGTTTAATTCCCACTACAATTAAATTAAATTAAATTGATAACCAGGGATGAGGCAATAGCTTAGTGGTAGATCTCTTGCCTTTCCTGTGCAAGGCTCTGGATTTGATCCTCACCATTGTAAAAAATAAAATGAGCCACTAAATCAAATGTAACAATATAACTCAGACATATGGAGGTAAATACCAGAAGAAATAGTGAAAAGATACCAAAGTAATTTCCTCAGAAGAGAAGAATGTAGGTGAGGAAAGGTTGGGTAGACAATGGGTTTGTTTGTTTTCTATGGTGTCTGATCTAAAGATACAGTAAATGTTTAAATTTTTAAAAAATTTATTACCGTAAAAGACATGTTGCTAGTTATCACCCTGAAAATACTTGAAATACTTCCCTTTGCTTCAAATGTACTTAACCATTGTTCTTGCCACTTTCTGAGGCAATTCTGGAAGACCTACATCCTGAGTGTGGTTAGTTGCTCTGTTGTGGTTGCCTCATTGTCCCAAGTTAAACCTTTAATGGGATGTCACTGAAGAAATCTATAAGTTTTGTTTTAGAATCAGGGTCTCTCTAGTTACTTATTGCCTGGGGTGGCCTCAAACTTGTGATCTGCTTCAGCTTCTGAGAATACTGAGATTACAGGTGTGCACCATTTTTTTTTTTTTAAAGATTTTTTTTAACATTTATTTAGTGTGTGTGTGTGTGTATGTGTGTGTGTGTGTGTGGCCAGCTCAGCCCACCAGGGGGTGCGGCTGGCTGGCATGTGGTGCTGGAGGATCGAACCGCGGTCCCTGTGCTTTGCCAAGCTTGTTTCAAGTAGGTGCTTTAGACCACTGAGCCATCTCTCCAGCCCCGGTGTGCACCATTTTATCCAACTCACTGTTTAATTAAAATGGATTGGATTGGAGCTCAGCAACAAAGTACTTGTACCTCATGTGCAAGACCTTGGTTTCAGTTCCTCCCACAACAAACACAAAATTGATCCTTGATGATATGCACTTATATAAATAGGAAATAGAAACACACCAGAAAGCCAGGCACACACTTAAAATCCAAGCACTGTGGGAGGCTGATCCAGAGTATCATAAATTTGAGCCAAGCCAAGATAACCTAGCAACTTAGCAAGGCCTAGTCTTAAACTAAAAAGGGATGGGGCTGTAGCTTATATAAAGGCCTGAGTTCAGTTCCAAATATCACATAAAAGCAGGAGAAAGAATAGTTTAAAGCTTCTGGTCATGGTGTCATGGTGTCACATACCTGTAATCCTGCATTTGGGAGTCTGAGGCAGTAAGATTACTCTAAGTTCAAGGCCAACCTGGGATACAACAAAACTGTCTCAAAAAACAAAAAGAGCTTCGAGTGCTATGTTAGAATCTCTGGTTTCCATCATATTTCTTTAAGCACAGGTTCCATGTTTGTTTATTTTATTTATTTTTTTTTGTGTGTGTGTGGAACTGGGGATTGAACTCAGGCCCTTGTGCTTGCCAGGGAAGCACTAATCCACTGAGCCATCTCCCCGGCCCCTTGTTTACTTTATTTTTTTAAATTTTTTTCTTTGTTTACTCTAAAATGGCATTTGCACAAATATTATTTAACAGCTGGACTTTATGATCCTTCTAACCAGGCATGTTGGTGTTTGTTTGTTTATTTCATACAGGGTCTCACTACACAGTTCAGACTTGTAGTGATCCTCTTGTCTCGGTCTCCCCATTGCTGGGATTACAGGCGTATACCACCATGCCCAGTTTCGGGGCTGGCGAGCCATTCAGTATCAGAGATCGAACCTGGATCCTTGTGCTTGCCAAATGGGCACTTAGACCACTAAGCCATCTCCCCACCCCTGTTGGGTATACTTTTATCACCTCAGCAGTTGGGAAGGTAGGCAGGAGATTTTTTTTTTTTTTGTACCAGGATCAAACTCAAGATCTTGCACTTATGCTGCTGAGCTATCTCTCCAGCCCTAGGTAGGAGAATCTTAAGTTTGAGGCCATCTTGGATGCATAGCAAGTTTATTTAGTTTTGGTGTTCGGATTTTGATTTGTTTGTACCAGGAATTAAGGCCTCCCACCTACCAGGCAGGTACTGTGCCACTGAGCTGCATCGCTGGCCTTGCAAGTTTAAGAAACAAAACTGCTTTACTCTCCCAACTATGCTGAGTAGCTGGGACGATACGTATGCGCCACTGTGTCTGGTTTGGTATGTCACTATTCTAAAACAGGATTCCAACATAACAGAATATAAAACTTATTTTGGCTTTCTTAAAAACAGCCCATATAAATGCAGACTCAAGGCAAGTACTGTGTGTCTGTTGCTGCTGCTGCTGGCAGATAATCTACAGGTTGAGATGTTCGTTAAACAGAAAGGCGGTACGTTGATGTCATTCCTGGCCATAGCACTCAGAACTCATCACTTTCTCTTGCAGATGGAGAGCTGGATCTGAACCTACCAGTGCTGGTCACAGACCAGTGTAGAAATGCCCAGGCCACCCATGAGGATACCAGAGCTGCTGCTGTGAAACCAGACAAGATGGCAGAGACGCTCACGTGCATCATCTGCCAGGATCTGCTACATGACTGTGTGAGGTACACTGCCCTCTACCATAGGCTGCCTCCTGGGGAAGTCTGAGTCTGTGTGACCTTTGACCTATGGGAGAAGGAGTGGTGGGTGAAGCCAGCTATTTATCCTTATTGGCCCAGGACTATGGCGGTTGCCATTTTCATTGTATTCACATGACCAACAAGGACAAACCCTGGAGTCTGGAAACCAAACGTAGAGGACCCTCAAGGCTCATGGTCAGCATTAGTTTTGACTGGCGTGAGTCATGGGTATCTCAGTAAACCTGGCCACTGCCTTACAGACAGATCAAATTGTACCACACCTTGGATATTCTCTGTTTAAAGAAATGTAACATTTGTCATATGGTGTATGTCCCAGATGTAGCTTCAGAAGACATTTTTCCTTGCTTTTTGATGAGAACCTGGGTGATGGAATCTACCCAAGTTTCTGCCTGGAGTGTTTCATTGCTTGTGTTCCTGAAACCATTGTCTTGCTCTCCTGAGTTACTTTTATTTTTAAAATTAAATTTACTTATTTTGTGGTACCATGGATGGAACTCTGGACCTAATGCTTGCCGGCAGGTGCATATGCTGCTAAGCTGACACACTGGCCCGCTCCTGAATTGTTGTTAAAGCCAAAGGCCATGCGGGCTCTAGCTTTTTATCATCCAAGACTGAGCTGAAGTGTTTTAGGTTGGTACAGAAACCCGTGGTTGGCCATGACGTGGGTCCAGCTTGCCTTTGTAGTGGAGGGTCTATAGGTCTCTCCGCAGGATCCCAGGCAAGTCTTTGGAGGCTGTTGTTTAGTGAAACGTTCTTGTTCCTCCAGTTTGCAGCCTTGTATGCACACCTTCTGTGCAGCCTGCTACTCTGGCTGGATGGAACGCTCATCCCTGTGCCCCACATGCCGCTGTCCAGTGGAGAGGATCTGTAAAAACCACATCCTCAACAACCTCGTGGAAGCATACCTCATCCAGCACCCAGGCAAGTGGATTGGCCACCCAGCCCTTTTCTTCTTTAGGGGTTGGGATATGAAGGGCGTTCTAAACAGCCTAGTCATGGTCTACTTGGTCATTTTCACTCTCACTGAATGCTGTGTGTCTTTTGAATCTAGACAAAAGTCGCAGTGAAGAAGATGTGCGCAGTTTGGATGCCAGGAATAAAATCACTCAAGACATGCTGCAACCCAAAGTCAGGAGGTCTTTTTCTGATGAGGAAGGGAGTTCAGATGACCTGCTGGTTCTGTCAGACGTTGACAGTGAATCCTCAGACGTAAGGTAAATTCTGTGCTGGCTTAGTGTGGGATTTGGGAGCTAGACATGTGATCTGTACTGTGATTAAGAGAGAGCAGTGGCCGTAACATGGCCTTAGCAGCCATATTCCTTAATGATGTCTGCTTGTTTTCTGGCAGTGAAGCATGGCCAAGACCTGTTGTTCTTGGGAGTGGATGAGAGCATGGCATGAGCCCCCAGGTGTCCACATGGGGCCTGAACCCTCCTCCACTCACCCGTTGGTTAAGCTCCACATTGTGGGACTTGGTTAATTATTGTGTCAGAAAGTCATGATTGTGTTGTTCTTCCCCACGCAAGTGCACTGATTTCTTATCGTTCATTTAGTGACCACAAAGTACTCCACCATGAATGGCAGTGATTAATATTTACAGAGCAGCATTGTAGAAAAGGCTTAGTTCCCTGGCTGAGAGGGCACAGCAAGACCTTGTCTGCTGACACACTGATGCTTTTTAACTCTGAAGTCCAAGATTTGCATTTTGGGCCAAAGGCATGATAATTAAAAGGATACCTTAAAACTTTTATTATTTTTATTACTTTTTGTAAAGTTTAGTGGTGATGATTAAGAAAAAGGAGAAAGCCAAAAATATCTTAAGTGTCAATGTTATTTTTTCCTTTTTCCTTTTTTGTTTTTTTTTTTTTCAGTGCTGTGATGAAACCTGGGGCCTTGCACATGGTAGACAAACATCTGCCACTGAGCCGCAACCCCAGCCGCAGTGTTCACATTTTGTTATATCCATCGGTCTTTGTTAACTTTTTCTCATTGCTGGGACAAAATGCCTGATGCCCAGAATTAGGGAAGGAAAGGTTTATGTAGCTCATTGGCTGGCTCCAAGGCAGGGTAGCACATGGAAGAAGGCAGTAGTTCATGATGGTAGAAAACAGCAAAAGCAGCAAGAGCATAAGGAGAGAAGCAGCAGAGAGCAAGCCTCTTGCCTTCCCTTATATTGTATGTAGGCTGCCTGCCCCAGGGCTGGTATAGCACTCACCCCTAATCCCAGCATTGGATCATGAATCAATCATAAACTCTAGAAGCCTGCTTCATGACTGCATGAGGCTTTGGGGGGGGGACATCTAGACAGAAACCATAGCACCATCAATTGGTCACTCATGGCTGGGGAGATAGCCCAGTGGAGTAAGTGCTTGCCTGGTAAGCGCAAGGTCCTGAGTTCAGTCCTGGTACCACACACACACACACACACACACACATACACACACACACACAAATTATCACCCATATATACCTATGCTTGCTTGCTCGCTCGTGTGCACTTGCACTCACTCTCGTTCTCTCCCTCTCTCTCTCTCTCTCTCTCTCTCTCTCTCTCTCTCTCTCTCTCTCTCTGTCTTTTAAGAAAGGGTTTTGCTTTAGCCCAGGGTGGCCTTAAATTTCTACTGATCCTCCTGCCTCAGCCTCCTGAATGTTAGGATCACAGGCATCTGCCACGATGCCTGGCTCATTTGCATGGTTTTCAAAAGTAGTATGCTAATAAGTTTTTTTTTGTTTGTTTGGTTTTTTTGCAGAACCAGGGATTGAACTCAGGCCCTCGTGCTTGCCAGGCAAGCGCTTATTCTATTGAGCTATATCCCCAGCGCCACTAATAAGTATTCCTAAAAAGATGGATTTTATTGCAGTAAGGATGCTGAGATTTCCCAACATTTTGCATTTGGAAACAGTGCTATGAAGTGTGTCCCTATGTTTAAATTTATGCATATGACAATCTTTTGACTAAGAGAAATAAATAGATATGAAACAGTTGAGTTAAAAGACTGTGACTGGGGGCTGGGGAGATAGCACAGCAGGCATAAGCAGCTGCCTGGCAAGCACAAGGTCCTGAGTTCAGTCACTGGTACAAATAAATAAATAGATAAATAAATCCACCCTTCTGAAAAAAATAAATAAAAAAGTGTGACTGGGGATCACACCTTGATAGACTTGGGTATGTGAGTTATCCAGTTAGCCATCAGAAAAGTCACACTGGGTCGGGAATATAGATAGTTCAGTGGCTTGGCACTTGCTGGGCAAGGGTGAGGTCATGAGTTAGATTCCTGGTAACAAAAGAAGTGACACTGATGCTACTCTGCTAGGAATACACAAGCAGTTCCCTTTGCCAGTTTTGTGGGAGAAAAAGGAGATAGCTTTAGCTTTTTTATTTTGCTTACAAATGGAATTAATCATTCTTTCACGGTGTTCTCATTTTATTTGATTGGATCTTTCTCATTGTTTTTCCTATTGTTTTGAGCTTAGAAAGGCAGATTCTAATAGATGAGAATCATGTGTGCTTTTTCTTTCTTTTTTGGCAGAACTGGGGATTGAACTCAGGCCCTTGTGCTTGCCAGGGAAGCGCTTATTCCACTGAGCCACCTCCTCAGCCCCTGTGTGCTTTTTCTGTAGCTTCTTTTTTTGCAGTCCTTTTTCCTAGCAATCTCTGAAGCAGGTATTTCTGAAATGCTGTGGTGACAAGTGACTTAGGTCAGTGAGAGGCCACGCAGGTGAGCACTGTTGGCTCTTAGGCTGGCCTTGAGGACTGTGTGTCTGATAGGGAGGATTTGCATGTCCTGGGTAACCAGCAGTGCCTTGGGGTGGTCTCAGCTCGGCCTCAGAGCTGGGACCCGCTGTGGTGAGCGGGGACTGCGAGGCTCCATGAGTTGCTGTGGACTGAAGGGAGCAGCCAGGTGTGTGCTGGCTGTGGTCCTCAGCCACAAGCTCTGGTCACATGTGGTTCTGGACAGTGCCCTCAGCAACAGCAGAGGCTGGGCCAGGAGGAGCGGCCACTTCCTCTAGGTACCAGGTGGCAGTGCGACCCAGCAAGGTACAGCTGCGCCCCAGTGAGGGGAAGTTACTGCCCAGCAGCAATGTGATGCTGCTGCCCTATCTGGGGCTGGGGCTTACTTAGCCTGCTTCTGTGTGGTCCTAGCTCTTTCTGTGCTCTTTCTGCAGCCAGCCATACATTGTGTGCAGACAGTGTCCTGCACACAGAAGGCAGGCGGCACAGCCCCTTTCCTGTCCAGCACCAGATAGCACATCCGAGGCCCTGCAGGCCCTTGAGGGGGATGCACCGTCCACCTCCACCAGCCTCACCCCAGGTAAGAGGCAGTGGCTTGCCACAGGCTGCTTCTTTGCACTGCATCTTTGTGTGGGCTCAGATTGCTGTGGTGTCCTGCACTATGTGGTGCCTCCCCGCTCCATCCCACACTGCCCCTCCTGCACCTCCCCTTCCTCCACGACCCCATTGCCTTTTATAGCCTCTTGCTTTTTGTAATCAGTGTTGGTAAGAAATTGGATATGTCAGTGAGTTATCCAGTTAGCCATCAGAAAAGTCACACTGGGCCAGGAATATAGATAGTTCAGTGGCTTGGCACTTGCTGGGCAAGGGTGAGTTCATGAGTTAGATTCCTGTTAACAGAGGAATCCAACTGGCCTGTCCTTTTGGCCATCTTTTGGTCCCTATAGGATGGAAAGATGGCCCAGTGGGCTCCGGCTTTTTGGCCATGGCTGGTCAGGTACACTGCTGCAGTTTTTCAGGTGGTCTGTACTGTGGATGTGACAAACAACGTATGGCTTGGCCACAGCACTGGAACTCAACAACAGCCTGACTTTGCCACTCAGAAGTTCTTTCCTCTGTGCAATAGGGAGCCGTCAGTGTCTTCTTTTAGAGGCATCAGACTACTAATAAGAGATATGTATCATGCACAAATATGAATCCCCAGGGGTGCTCAGTGACCCTTAGCAGTGTGCTGTGGTACTTAGCAGAGTCACCTCCCCATGGATGTTCCCTGTGTCAGAGCAGTCTTCCTCACCATGCCTGACCTTTGTTTATTGGAAGGATAGAGTTGTTCTTTTTCCTCAGCAGAAATATATAACTCATTTTATTGTTTTATAATATGTGCTTTATGGGCCTGTCCTGCCTTTGTAGGAAAAGAATAGATAATTTTTGACTAATCTTTGAAATCTTGTTACAATCACTGAACTAAAGGATAAGCTTGGGGTTTTTTTGTAGTCCTAGGGACTAAGCCCACTCATCCTAGGCAAGTGCTATACCACTGAGCCTCACCTCCAGCCCTCAGTTTTTAGTTGTGTTTCATCTTGTGAACTCTGTCAGTTTAAATAGCAGAATATAATTTGCCTGTTTAAGAACTAGTCTGGGGGCTGGGGAGATGGCTCAGTGGAATAGGCACTTCCCTGGCAAGTGCAAAGGCCTGAGTTCAATCCCCAGTTCCGCAAAAAAAAAAAGTACTGGTCTGGGGCCAGCCAAATAGCTCAGTGGATTAAAGCTCCTGCGAGCAGGCACAGGGCCAGGGGTTAGATCCCTGGGCCTGCCATGCCGGCCTGGGGCCCACTGAGATGGCATTTGAGACTGGGCATGGTGGTGCATGCCTGTAATCCCACCTCTTGGGAGGCTGTAAGCAGGCAGATCACTAAGACTCTGATCTTGTAGTGAGACCCTGAACACCCTGTAGACCCTAACTCATCTGTACTGCTTTCCTAGATATAAATAAATCTCTCATCAGATGTCTTTTTGCTTGATGTTGCACACATTGTCCCAAACATGCATGCATGTCTTTAGCAACCCAGGAATACGTGTGCCCTGTTCAAGGAAGCCACGCCATATGCACCTGCTGTTTCCAGCCCATGCCCGACCGGAGAGCAGAGCGTGAGCAGGACCCCCGTGTCCCACCCCAGCAGTGTGAGTGAGCTGTCTGATGGTGCTGTATCCTCTGGGGCTTGGTGTTGGGTGCCTTTCAGCCTTGTGTGGGCCGTGCAGCAAAGATGCACTGCGTTGTTTGATCTGCAAAATCAGTTGGACCCACATGACAAGTTGAGCTGTTGGTCTTTTCCACCAATGATAATGCTGCCCCATATGGATCAACTGTCCATGGATGTGGGTGGGCTTCCCTGCAGGGTTTGAATCCATACCCATCTCCATGTCAGTTCTCAGCTGTGTATGGTGTGTCCCTCATAAAAATTCATAGTAGAGACAGGCTGTCTTTAATGTAAGTTCTTAGCATTGAAACAGAGCTCTGTCTACAGGTGCAGCTTGTCTGCAGCCCTTCTGCCACCTGTACTGGGGCTGTACCCGGACCGGCTGCTCTGGCTGCCTTGCCCCGTTCTGTGGTAATTCTGGCTTTTCATCCTGAGTTCCTCTGACCTTTGCATGTTCTCTTGTTAACTTAAGGGCAGGGCAGGTAATGGTAGTGTCTGGGTAGCCTGCTGCAGGAAATGAGGTCATTTTTAGTCATCCCGTAATTATGTGCCTTTTCCTCTTGAATTGCAGAAGTTTGCCATTGGAGCATCGAGCTCATGTTAGCTCCTAGTCAAGCAAAGATGGCACAGTTAGGGGAAGTACTAGATTCTGGTACAGGAAGGTTTATTTCTGCACTTAACACTGCTGCAGGAACAGTCTTGCTCCGGGATTTAGATTTTTGACACTGGGCCAGGTGCTGATGATACCTGGCAATCTTATCTTAAGGAGGGTGATGGATGGAAATCATTTTTACTTTTTCTCTTTTATTTTTGGGGGGCTTTTGGTTGTTCTTTTAAAAGTTTTGCTTTGTTTTTAGGAAACAGGGTCTTACTATCTAATGCAGGCTGGCCGTGAACTTACAGTGATCCTCCTGCCTCAGCCTCTTGAGTGCTGGGATTAAGGCATGTGCCACTATGCCCAGCTTTGTTTTCTATTTTAAATTGTGTTTTAGGGGCTGATGAGATGGCTCAGTGGTCTAAAGCACCTACTTAGAACAAGCTAAGCTAAGCAAAGCACAAAGACCGCGGTTCAATCCCCCAGCACCACATGCCAGCCAGCCCTGCCCCCTGGTGGGCTGAGCTGGCCATACACAGACACTAAAAAATAAATAAATATTTAAAAAAAGAAAAGAAAATGTATCTTTTAAAAAAATAAATAAATAAGAAATAAATTGTGTTTTATCATGGAACTTTTTATTCTCATCATAATTGATAATGGAAAACAGTTTGGTTATCCTGTCCAGTAAACATCGCTTCCTTCCTCTGGCAGAGCTCAACCTAGGGGACAAGTGTCTGGATGGAGTGCTGAACAACAACAACTACGAGTCAGACATCCTGAAGGTACTGTTACAGATTCAGCGGGGCGCAGTGGTGGCCAGCAGGCTCAAGGAGCTTCTGCCACTGTGACAGGCCCCTATGCTCTCCTGGGCGCAGCGCACCTGGTCCTCTGCCTTCCACTAGCCAGTGACAGTGAACATTTCAGAGCGCAGGGATCCCAACAGCCTGCACGGCATATGTGCGCAGGGTCCCCACCACTGCATTAGTGTATCTCTTTCCTCTGCGTGCCAAAAGGAGATATCTCTAGCATGTCATGAATATGTAGGACTTAGTTCAACAGCTCAGAGAAAGGGTTTCTTAGAAGAGCTGACCCTTCTCTTTGGCTTTTTCCTTTTCTTTTTTTTTCTTTCCCACACAGCTGAAATTTTCAGCTTTCTCCATTTCTGACCATTTTCTTTCTCATATTTGAGAAAGCTGTCTCAGCCCTTAGATTCAATATGTTCATCATGCACCTCAGCCTCCTGCTGAGAACTTTGCTTCCCTCCTGTTCCCATCTAGTGGTGATGACAGCACACAGCAGTGGGGCCATTGAGTACCTTCGACACAGCAACAAGCATGCCCTATTGAGCAGTACCACACGTGCTTTTGTTCCGACAGGCAGTTTTGTAGGTTTGCACAGAAGGAGCTTGTAGCCCCTTGTTTTTGAAGGGTGGGGAAGACAGATCTCAGGTCTTTAGCCTCTCTTGCCTTGGAACTGTGAGGCTCCAAACAAGGTGTACCTTCTCCATTGCCCTGGTGCTATGAATGCTTTTGCAGGATTTTTGAGAAGATGGCACAGGGTCAAAGGTCAGCCACCTTGTTGAGACTCAGAAGCAAGAAGCTTGGGAGCCAGGCCAGACATGCTGACTCCAGCGCTTGGCTGTGGCCTTGTGCAGATGCTGCCCTCAGGGACCTTCTCTGAAGTTGTTTTTTCCCTTTTGTCCTTCTAGTGTTTTTCCCTCTTGTCTCGTATTTTCTTTTAGTACCCTTTCTTTTTTCCCCGTCAACAGAATTACCTGGCAACCAGGGGTCTGACGTGGAAAAACATATTGACAGAAAGTCTCATGGCTCTGCAGCGGGGAGCATTTTTACTGTCTGGTAAGCCACCCTCCCTTATCTCACTCTCTCTAAAGTAGACATGAGTTTTTAAGGTACCCTTTGTCTCCTGCAACCGTGACATGCCATACCTAGATAGTGTTACCGGTCCGCTTACCCTGCATTGATGATTTTAAGCTCCACTCAGCCCAGCAGAGAGAAAGAAAGGTCTTGGTACTCTGGGTTTAACCTGTGTGATATACTCTAGCACCTTCTCTCCATGTGGGGAGAGTGGGCGTGCGTCTGTAGAGACTCCGCCCTTCAACACGCCGAGGCTCTAGGCTGTTAACCTGGACCCTCATTTGCTGTTGCTGGGTTACTCATCACTTAGTGGGGGGTGCTCCTCCTCCTGGGGAGCACGACCATGCGTGGATGTGGTCTTTGCCCCTCAGCTAGGCGGCAGAAATACTGACAAGCAGTGCCTTCTAAGACAAGAAGTGTGATAAAAAGATTTAAGAGTTCTGTGTAGACAGGCATGGCGGCTCACACCTGTAGCTCAACATTCTCAGAGGCTGAGGCACAAGGGTCATCCCAACTTCCAGGTCATTCTGGGCTCCATAGTCCAAGATCATAGACCAGTCTCAAACCCTCTCCCTGCAAAAAGCAAGATTTCTGCTTACCACCCCGTGAGCTATTTTGTCTTGTGGCCACACTCCAGTGCGCATCAGCAGCTGCTTCTGCCAGGCCCTTTAAACTTCCACTTTTTGTCTCTTAGTTTTGCAACAACAATAGTGGCTTACATTGGCAATCCCACTGCTCAGAACACACCCAGATGGGCTAAGAGAAGCTGGGGCAGAGCCCTGACCTGGTGTGCTTGAGGCTTAGGGTTGGATCCCAGAACATACCCAGATGGGCCAAGAGAAGCTGGGGTGGAGCTTTTGCCTGGTGGCTTGAGGCATTGGGCTGGGTTCCCAGACTCACCCAGATGGGCCAAGAGAAGCTGGGGTGGAGCTTTTGCCTGGTGGCTTGAGGCATTGGGCTGAGTTCCCACTACTGAAGAGCAGAGACACTCCAGATGTTGTCCTTATAACCACTTTTTTTTTTAAAATTTTATGTGTGTGTGTGTGTGTGTGGCCAGCTCAGCTCACCAGGGGGCGGGGCTGGCTGGCATGTGGTGCTGGGGGATTGAACCGTGGTCCCTGTGCTTTAGCTAAGCTTGTTCTAAGTAGGTGCTTTAGACCACTGAGCCATCTCACCAGCCCCAATAACTACTTTTCTAGACCCTGCCAAGCACATGTTTGTGGATAACGTCACCAGTTCTGCTTAACTGTCCGTGTTTTTTACATCTAATTTTCACTCAGCAATTATGTACCCATTTCTACCAAGAAAGGTCTACACACCTTGATTTGTAGGATTTTCTTTGGTTTTTTGAGTACCAGCTTTCAAACACAGGGCCTTGTGCCTGCTAAGCAGGTACATTATCACTTAGCTACATCCTTCACTCTAACTTGGTTCTTTATTAGTACATAATACTCTAATATAGTCATAGCTTGTTTCTAATTTGGATATATAGGCTATATAAATTGTAGTTGTTCACTATTTATTTTTTATTTATTTATTTATTTATTTATTTTTTTGGCAGAACCGGGGATTGAACTCAGATCCTTGCGTTTGCCAGTCAAGCGCTTATCCTACTGAGCCATCTCCCTGGCCCCAGTTGTCCACTATTTTAAATGACCACAATTAATTTCGAGCATATGATGCAGTAGATTTAAGAAGTTGTCACCTTAAGCCAGCCGTGGTGACACATGCTTATAATTCTAGTTGTGGGAGGCTGAGGAAGAGGATTGCAAGTTGTAGCCCAGTTTAGGCAACTTTCTGAGACTTTGATCTCAAAATAAAAAAGCTAGGGATGTAGCTCAATGCAAAGACCCTAGTTTCAATCTCCAATGTGGAAATAGGTACCCTTATGATAAATAAATCAATGGAGTTTGTAGGAAAGTGTGCACACAGTGTAGACTTTGTCACATTGTCCTCCAAGTTTTGCAGACTGCATCGTGCCTGGGGCTATCTCCCTGGCCCTATAATTTCATTTTTATTGCAGATGTTTCCTCTATAGTATTAGTATTTCCTACTTGTCATTTTGATTTGTTTTGTTTTGTGGAACTGGGGATTGAACTCAGGCCCTTGTGGGGCAGGCAGCATCGCCAGCCTGTTTGCTCTGCCTCTGTGTGACCATACCTTTCACTTACTTGTCCATGTTTGATTATTAGCCAGATTTAAAATCTTTTTTTCATTTATGTGTCATTTACTTGCCTGTGATCTTGGTGTATATTACCCACTTGGGGGATTTATTACCATTTTGGCGTGGATTTATATGATATCTTTGTTAATTTAGTATATAGTTTCATTTTTTTTTTTTGTTTTTGGTACCAGGGATCAAACTCAGGACCTTGGGCTGCAGAGATGGCTCAGTGGTCTAAAGCACCTACTTAGAACAAGCTTAGCAAAGCACAGTGGACCGCGGTTCGATCCCCCAGCACCACATGCCAACCAGCCCCCCCCCCCCCCCGGTGGGCTGAGCTGGCCACACACACACAATAAATAAATAAATAATTTAAAAAAATTAAAAAAAAAAAACTCAGGACCTTGCTTTTGCCAGGCAAACACTTACTCAACTGAGCTATCTCCCTGGCCCTATAATTTCATTTTTATTGCAGATGTTTCCTCTATAGTATTAGTATTTCCTACTTGTCATTTTGATTTGTTTTGTTTTGCGGAACTGGGGATTGAACTCAGGCCCCTGCGTTTGCCAGGCAAGCGTTTATTCTACTGCGCTATCTCCCTGGCCCTCCTATTTGTCATTTGTATTCTCACTTTGATGTTTACATTTATGAATCCTTTAAAGTACCTGCTTAGGCAAGCATAGCAACCAGGGTTCCATCTCCTGTGTGCCGTGCTGGCCCCACCCCAGGGCGCGCAGAGACGGTGATTGAGACTGGGTGTGGTGGTGCACGCCTGATCCCAGCTCTTGGGAGGCTGAAAACGGGAGGATCACTATGAGTCCGATCTGTGCAGTGAGACCCTGTAGACCCTGTACTAAATACTTTTTTTTTTTTAATTTTAAAAATTTATGAATCCTTTTCTATGTTTTTCAGTAGTTTTTATTTTATACAGGTTGAGCATTCTTAACCCAAAAAGCTGTCAGATCCAGAACTTTTCACACAGGCAGGAGGCATGAATGCACATGTGGCACTCGGGACTAAACACGGAGCGTTCTACCACTAAACAATATCCCAGACCCTTGTTTTTTGTTTTTTTGGGGTTTTTTTGCGGAACCGGGGAATGAACTCATACCCTTGAGCAGAACGTTGTTGCAGTTTTTTTTTGTTTTGTTTGGCGGACCTTGTTTTTTTTTTAAATTTTTATTTGTGTGTGTGTGTGTGTGTGAGTGGCCAGCTCAGCCCACCAGGGGGCGGGGCTGGCTGGCATGTGGTGCTGGGGGATTGAACCGCGGTCCCTGTGCTTTGCTAAGCTTGTTCTAAGTAGGTGCTTTAGACCACTGAGCCATCTCACCAGCCCCCGGACCTTGTTTTAAAGATAGTACCTTGCTAGTTTACCTGGACTGGTCTGAAACTTGGGGGATCCTTCTGCTCAGTCTCCCAGGTAGCTGGAATTGCGGGTGCACACAACCATTCCTGGCTAAAATCAGAAACTGTTTGATTGATGCTTACACAATTAGCATCACAAAAGGAAAATTCCATTCTTATCCTCCTATGATGGTCATTGTTAAAAACTCAGATTCTTTGAAAATATTGCCTAAAACTACTTTTTATTTTATTTCATTTCATTTATTTTTTTTGGTGGAACGGGGGATTGAACTCAGGCCCTTGCGCTTGCCAGGGAAGCGCTTATTCCACTGAGCCATCTCCCTGGTCCCCTAAAACTACTTTTAAGCCAAGAGCTGTGATGCATCCCTGTTGGCCCAGCTACTTGATAGGCTGAGCAGGAGGACTGAAAGTTGGAAACCAGCCTAGACAATTTTGTTCTTCTTTTTTTTTTTTTTTTTTTTTGGCAGAACTGGGGATTGAATTCAGGCCCTTGCGCTTGCCAAGGAAGCGTTTATTCCATTGAGCCATCTCCCTGGGCCAGCCTAGACAATTTAACCAGACCCTATCTCAAAAAACAAAAGCCTGAGGCTTTAGCTCATTGCAAAGGCCCTGGTCAATCCCTGGTATCAGTACATATATACATACATAATAATCATACATATACGGCCAGCTAACCTACCCAGCTACCTGGAAGCTGTAAGGCATATTTGTTTAAAATATATATGGTGGGGGGCCGGGGAGATGGTACAGTAGAATAAGTGCCTCCCTGGCAAGCACAAGGGCATTTTATGTGTGTGTGTAACCGGGGATTGAACTCAGGCCCTTGCGCTTGCCAGGCAAGCGCTTAATCTATTTTTTTTTTTTTTTCTTTTTTTCAAGCGCTTATTCTACTGAATTACCTCCCTGGCCCCTAAAAAAATATTTTCAATCATTTATTTATTAATTTGGGGGGCCAGGGAAATGGCTCAGTGGAATAAGCACTTCCCTGGCAAGCACAAGGGCCTGAGTTCAATCCCCGGTTCCACAAAAAAAAAAAAAAAAAAATTATTTGGTACAGGGTCTCACTAACCCAGTTTGTAGTGCTCCTTCTGCCTCAGCCTCCCCAGTGCTGAGATTACAGGCGTGTACCACCATGCCCAGTTTCGGTGGCTGGCACAGCATACAGTACCAGGGATCAAACCTGGTCCTTGCACTTGCCAGGCAGGCACTTAGACCGCCAAGCTAGCTCCCCAGCCCTATAAGGTATATTTGAAACATAAGTGAATTACCTGTTTAGTGTTGGGTTCTATCCTTGAGATATCTCATCATGTAGATTTTCCAAAATTAGGAAAAAAATGAGAAATGCTCTTGATCCCAAACATTTCAGATAACAAATATTCAACCTGTACTTTTTTTAAAAAAAAATATTTATTTATTTATTTATTTTGTGTGTGGCCAGTTCAGCCCACCAGGGGGCGGGGCTGGCTGGCATGTGCTGGGGATTGAACCGCGGTCCCTGTGCTTTTGCTTAGCTTGTTCTAAGTAGGTGCTTTAGACTACTGAGCCATCTCACCAGCCCTCAACCTGTACTTTTGAAGAGAAAATATTCATTCCAATTTTCTCCTTAGTATTTTTTGAATTTTTTTTTTTTTTTAAGACAGGGTCTGCTATATAGTTCAGACTAGCCTTAAACGGTGTAGTCTAGGTTAGCCTCAAACTCATGGCACTCTTCCTACCTCAGCCTTTTCAGTGCTGAGATCATAAGCATGTGCCACCACACCTGGCTCCATTTGAATATTTGAATTTTCCTATATGTGTGGGATTACTCTGCTGTATGAAAGTGAATTGATATCTAGATGATTTTGGCCTTTTTTCCAAAAGCCAAGCCTGTTGTTTCTTATCTCATATATGTAGCTATATGTGAGAGTTCCCATTGGTTTGAGTGCAGTGTCTGTTCAGCTGTCTAGAATAGGACACTGCATTGTTGCTGGCCATTCCCACATGATATGTGTTCTCTGCAGATTACCGGGTCACTGGAAATACAGTGTTGTGCTACTGCTGCGGCCTGCGCAGTTTCCGAGAGCTGACCTATCAGTACCGGCAAAACATTCCTGCTTCTGAATTGCCAGGTGAGGAGTCCACAAGCTCCAGTTCCATCTGCCTTGGCTTCTCTACTCCCTTTTTGTTTTGGGGTTTGTTTGTTGGTTGGTTGGTTTCCATGCTAGGGATGAAATCCAGGGCTTGGCAAGGCAGGCACTCTACTCTAAGCTACGTCCCCTGTCCTGCCCACGTTTTAGGAGGTGCTTCGTTTCGGCAATGGTGCTGCAGAGAGCTTAGTAGAACTTTGCACAAGCCAAGGAGAAGACAGGTACACAGGCTGGTGGAGGCTACTTTTGCCTCAGGGACTGGGTGTGGCACTACCAGTCACGGCAGGTGTAGTTCTAAAGTGGAGATAACGTGAAGACATCAGTAGACTGCTGGAATAATTTCATCTCCTCAAGGTGGTTTTCACTGAATGTCTTTTGTCCTTTCCTGAAATCCTGACAGTCCAAGGAAACTAGTCCCAAAGAGGGACTAAGTGCTTTACATTCAGTTTCTTTTTTCTAATTTAGCTAGTTGGGTGGGTATATGTGACATCTCTAATGTAGATCTGTATTCTCTTCCCTTCTAGTGGCTGTGACCTCCCGTCCTGATTGCTACTGGGGCCGTAACTGCCGCACTCAGGTGAAGGCCCACCACGCGATGTGAGTGAGGCTGGGGCTCAGAAAGGTGGCACAGAAGTTACCTTATTTGTGCCTGGAAATGGAGTTCAGTGGCAGAGACTACACTTAGCACGTGCCAGACCACCAAACAGTTTATATATATGCACACACACATAAACACGTAATATGCATAGACATGCATATATGTGCTATATGTGGCTAGTCATTACGCATCTGTAAGTCATGGAGCATGTAAGATAGCTCCTCTTTTGTTACTCATTTCCTAAAATGTTTATATCCACATGCTTGCCTCTTGTCGTCCATAGCTGTGTCTTCATGGCTAAAAATCACTGTAAAATAACTAACATTGCTATCTGAAAGTGAATTGATAACTAGATGATTTGGGCTATTGTTTTCTAAATGCCAAGCCCGTTGTTTCTTATCTCATATACATACCTATATGTGAGAGTTCCCACTGGTTTGAGTGCAGTGTCTATTCAGCTGTCTAGAATAAGACACTGCATTGTTACTGGCCATTCCCACATGATAGGTGTTCTCTGCAGATTATAGGGTCATGGAAACAAATGACTTTACCCCTTGTCTGACAGTTCCCAGAGCTCAGCCAATTATTGAGCCTTAGCACTTCCTGGGTCAGTGACTGTGGCCACTAACAATGTCCACCCCAAGCCACAGGCCCACTGGCACAGTGCTCAGACAGCTGGGGTTTTCTTCTATTTGTTTTTCTTCCATTATTGTGAATGAGCCTTTGCAGTCACTGTAACGTGGTCACCCTGGCTGTGGCCTCTTCCTCATTCTTTAAAGAATGTTCACAGCAACATCTACATTGCCCTGGGAGACCAGAGCTCAGGAGTAATCTCTACCCTGCATTTTTTTTTTTTTTTTTTTTTTTTTTCTTAGACAGGGCCTTGCTCTGCAGTTTAAGCTAGCCTTGAGCTTACTTTGTAGCCCAGGCTGGTTTCAACCCTCAACAATCCTCCTGCCTTTTTAAACAGTTGAGATAAACACTGTCAGTTCCTTAGCCTATATATAATCTCCAAACAGGCATTGTTTGTTCAAATTAAAGTAATTGAGAGTCTTCGATGAGATTTAGCTCTATAAGCCCATGGGAACGAGGTTGGGAGAGCCTTTTTACCAAGAGGGCGCCGAAGGCAAAGAAGGAAGCCTCTGCCCCTCCCAAAGCTGAAGCCAAAGCAAAAGCTTTGAAGGCTAAAAAGGCCGTGCTGAAAGGCATCCACAGCCACAAAAAGAAGAAAATACGAACATCGCCCACCTTCCGCCATCCCAAGATGCTGCAGCTCCGGAGGCAGCCCAAATACCCTCGGAAGAGCGCCCCCAGGAGAAACAGGCTTGACCACTATGCCATCATCAAGTTCCCCCTGACCAGAGTCAGCCATGAAGAAGATTGAGGACAACAACACACTTGTGTTCATTGTGGATGTCAAAGCCAATAAGCACCAACTCAAACAAGCTGTAAAGAAGCTCTATGACATCGATGTTGCCAAGGTCAATACCCTCATCAGGTCTGATGGAGAGAAGGCATATGTTTGACTGGCTCCTGATTATGATGCATTGGATGTTGCCAACAAAATTGGGATCATCTAAACTGAGTCCAGCTGGCTAATTCTAAATATATACTTTTTTTCTCAGTTAAAAAAAAAAAAAAGTAATTGAGCCAGTGTGCTCAGTATGAGATATGAGGACTCAGGTGAAGGTGACACTTTCTAAGGAGTGGTTTTTGTTTTTTGGGTGTGTTTTTTTTTTGTTGTTTTTTTTGTTTTTGAAGAACCAGGGATTGAACTCCGGCCCTTGTGCTTGCCAGGGAAGCGCTTATTCCAGTGAGCCATCTCCCCAGCCCCTCTAAGGAGTGGTTTTATGAGATACAAACCATGCATCAAACTGGATGTGTTAATGCACACCTGTAATCCCAGCATTTAGGAGGATGAGGCAGTATGATTGCCATGAGTTTGAGGCCAGCCTGGGCTACAAAATGAGTTCCTGTCTCAAAAAACAAAAACCTAGGCTGGGCATGGTAGCACACACCTGTAATCTCAGCACTCAGAGGCTGAGGCAAGAGAATCTTGCAATTTTGAGAACATCCTGGACTATAAAGTGAGCTCAATCAGCCAGAACTACAGATCGAAAGCCTGTCTCAAAAAGACAAAACAAAAACAAAAACCTTTGTGCTTTAAACAAGCATGGAAAGAGACTTATTTTCAGAGCAGAGACTTCACTAGTAACTACCTTTCTGTTTTTGGTTTTTGTTTTTGTTTTGGTGGTACCAGGGATTGAACTCAGGACCTTGTGCTTGCCAGGCAGGTGCTTATTCTGCTGAGCTACCTCCCCAGCCCTGTAACTACCTTTCTAAATAAAAGTAGGAGCATAGATACAAAGGTGCAACCCATCTTCTATCAATGTTCACAGTGTTGGGGGTAGCTACCATCACCTCTTGGGTCATCTACCAGGTGACATGCAGGCCCTTGGAGAAACTCTAGAGAAGTACAACTCTTACTGTCTTCTCTAAGAAAACTGCCTAGATGTCACTTCTGTTTGAAAATTTAAAACAGGAAAAACAAGGTTACTTTGGGGATTTCATTTCTTTGATATTATTAAAAATATACTATACTGCTGTGAGTCCATGCACACACTTGATTTTTGTGTGGCTCTTCTGGGAAGCAGTTTTAAATCTTACTTAATTGAGTATTTATGTAGAGTTCTCTTGTGTGAGTCCATTTTTCTCTCTGCAGGAAATTTAATCACATCTGTGAGCAGACAAGGTTCAAGAATTGAACATCAGGGAAACAGCACAGAACCTTTTGAGGCAACACTGCATGTTGAAAATACAGACCTCTGAGGGTATTTTTCCATCTCAGCAAGGCCAGCTGGGCTCTCAGGTCAGGTGCTGTGGAGGGGCTTCTCCTGCTGTGGAGCTTTAACCTGAGTGAGAGTCCCCAGGCGGCCTGGCAGGGGGGGTGGCAGCACCACCCTCCCGCTGAGCGTGCACGGCTGAGCCCACACTCAAGCCTCCTTCTGGACTGATAGTTGTGCGTACCTCTGCAAGTGGGGACAGTGCAGGTTTGGTCTTTTTGTCCCTTTTCTATAACTGCAGTTAAAATGGAAATCTCTTTTCAGGAAAATTTCATGGAAGAAGGGAAAGTGTGTCAGAAGTGCTCTCTTAGGGAAACGGAGCATAAGTTTACAGCATACAGGATGTTCAGAACACTCCGCTGTTGGGACAACCACAGCCTTTTATATATTTTTTATTTTAATAGCTTTGGTGCTTATCTTCTAATAAGATTTAAATATCACAAACAGTAGCACAAATAATATAATTTATAATTTACAGATTGACTAAATTGGGGATAGTATGTATATTTGAAAGTTTCTGATTATTTAAAAAAAAAAAAAAAACGCTCAAATGTCCCAGTCTGCTAACTCTGGATGTGGATGAAGGGTTGGCGGCTCCTTGCTGATATGCATGAGATGTGTCACTGCTGTCCCCAGTGCTAGGCTGGCCCCAGGCTGTCGAGGAGGGTGAGCCTGCAGAGCCCGAGTGGGTGAAGGGTCTGCTCCCAGATCCTGCCCCTCCTACATTAGGTTTGCCACATCATCTGGAATAATACTTGAAACTTGGTTTTTTGTTTTTAAAAAAGGTTTTATTTTTTTGTTGAAATCACCTATCATGTATGTTTGCAAGCTGGTAACTCTTCTGCTTCTTCTCAGGAATACACTTTTCAGTTGTTTTCTTGCTCTTGATACACACCGAGAAGCAGCACTCTCTCTGTGCGAGAGCAGCCCCTCCTTCAGTTCTAATAAACAAGCCGTGTTTCTCTCCTCTGTGTCGAGTTTCCGTGTGGGGCTGCCCCGAGCTCCTCCTCAGAAGGTGCACCACTGCTCCCTCCTCGTTCAACTTCTGTTGGTGCCTTACTGTCTGACCACGTTGCGGGCACCAGCTGCATAGCCGGAAGACTGTGCATCAGTGCCAGTGGCATAGGGGCTGCCACTTCACTCTCAGAAGTCATAGTTGGTTTGTCCAGAAGGAGTATTTGCCTTGAGCCAGAAAGGCAGGGCTGTCCTGTGTCTGTGTCTTTGAGAGATGGCCTTTGCTCTCCAGGCAACTGGGCAGCAGCCCTGCCCCATATTTCCATGTAGCTGAGCCCAGCCCTACAGAAGCAGCTAGCCTGTAGCTACCCACAGACTCCCTTGCACTCCCTGGTGCAGCAAAGGCATCTTATTCTCCAGGTGCCCTGTCTGTGCCAGTCAGCCCTACTCACCTCCCATCATGCCCACCTCTAGGGTCCAGGTCTACAGCAGTCATGTCGACCCCGGGGAGAATTCACTGGGCCCAGGAAAGCTGGCTGAAAATAAGGATGAAGGAGTCAGGCTAGCCCTCCACTGAGTCCATATGAAGGGCTGGTGGGAAAAGGTGTAAGTCACCTTGAGTGCTAGCAGGTTGGAATGAGTAGACCTAGTTCTGAGAGGGACAAGCTGCTCTTGGGTGTGGGTTGGCAGCTGGACATCATTGGTGGGCTTCTGCCAGCTAAGGAATCCCTGGTGACAGCCTAGCCCTTGTTCTGGTCTGGCTTTCCAGGAAAGTGATAAGCAAGGCTGGCCTTAACTGTAGCCAGCAGTCGGGTTTAGTGAAGAGACCCAGAAATTGCCACAGAGCCACAAGTTTACCAGGAGCCTGCCAGTGGGAACCAAAATTATCTGGGGCAAGAAAGAAAATAAAGGAACTTAGTGGATTTGGAAAGCCCAGAGTAGATCGGATACCAGATGTGGCCCAGACTGTCGCCAAGACCATCCTTGTTCTGCTTTCTTCACAGCTTGGTTTTAGCATGCATTTTAGTTATTCTCAGCATATAATTGCAATTCCAGCACTCTGTGAGGCTGGGGCAAGAAGATCTCAACTGTAACCCCAGCCTGAGCAACTTAGTGTGGCAGCCTCAGAAAAGTGAGAGATCTATCTTTTTGTACACAGGCCCTGGATTCAATGCCTAGCACCAAAAGAAAAAAAAAAAAATGTTCTCTCAGATACTGCCCTACTGCATAAGAAAGCTAGATCTCGCCTCTCTGTAAACAGGCCCATGTGAAAGGGCACCAGGCCCCAGACACCAGTGGGAGGCAGCTGCAAGTGTGGCCCAGGGGATCTTGGGAAGGGCTCCCCAGAGAGCTAGTACCATGGCCCTTTTAAAAATCATACAAATTTAGAATTAAATGCATTAAAAACAAAAGTAATTCCTATAATCCCAGCTACTTATGAGGCTTACCAGGAAAATCATGAGTTTGAGACCAGCCTACTGTAGCTTACTAAGAGCCTGACTCAAAAGGCTGGAATGTAACTCAGTGGTTAAGCACTTGTCCAGTGTGCTTCACCCCAAGTACAATCCCTAGTACCACAAAACAAACAAAAAACCCAGGAAATAAATACTGGGGCTGGGCACTTCCTAGATACTGGTTTACAGCCTCTGTGTCAGCCTGTAAAAGGTGTCAGGGCAAGGGGGTGGAGAGCAGAAGAAGGCAGATTTTTGCAGGTGAAGTTCCCAGATTCAAGAATGCAAGACATCAGCAACAATAGCAGTCAGCAAAGTACAGCAAGAGCAGCCTGTGTCTGTATTGTTTTAGGGTTAGGGTTAACATGCTGGCTTCACTGGTGCACGTTTAGCTGTCTAATGCTAAGTCATGGTTATGCAAGTGTATCCAGCTGTGTACCTGTACTAGACAGCAGGGTCATGTCCTGACAGGTCCTCAGATGCCCTGAGCTTTGATGTAACCTTCTGTGGCTTCTCACAACAGGTGTTTTGTTTCCCTAACACCTCAAACTTCATGGCCAAAGAGAACTCTTTCTAGAGCAGACCCCAGGCCTACACCCACAGGTACCAGGGCTTCCCAGCCTCTGCCATCTCAGAAAATAGCAAGCCACCACAAGGTCTACCTCCTGCCCACATCAGCAACCCCACTTGCTACATACAGCCCCCCTGAAGCTGCTTCCCCTTGTTAGCTGAGCCTGTGTGCAGCCCAGCCTCCCTGAGATACTCTTTCCACCTGCTGGCATCACTCCCAACACTGCTCCACATTTTACTCCTGTTACCCCTTCTTGTACAGGGTCAGGTCCAATCCACTTCCGCAGAGGAACTGAGTATTTTCAAGTTTTTGCTTAATGATTGGCTCTAGTGGTCTCCCAACTACCTTCAAAATCCCATCACTAAAATCACAGCTCACCTGCCTATGTCTCTGCCACCTGTGTTTCAGCCCATAACTTCTGGTTATGTATTTGTTGAGTGGTTTCCCACCAGGAAGTTCCTTGAAAGCAGGGATTTTTAAAAGAAAACTTTTAAAAATGTATATTTTTATATATTTTTAAATGTATAAAAATGTAGCACATAGTAATTAAATTCATCATGGGGAGTTGGTACAGATACTTAACACATCTTAATTCTTTTTATGCCCCTTTCCATCTCTTTGTCATTTTTTTTCCACTTGCAAAATATCTATGTTAGGGGCTGGTGAGATGGCTCAGTGGTCTAAAGCACCTACTTAGAACAAGCTTAGCAAAGCACAGGGACCGCGGTTCAATCCCCCAGCATCACATGCCAGCCAACCCCACCCCCTGGTGGGCTGAGCTGGCCACACACACACACACAAATAAAATTTTAAAAAAAATTTTTTGGATGTCTTTACTCATTTATTCCTGTAGCTCAACTACATTTCTCCAACAGCATTCTAGTCCAGTCACCTACTAGAATGTAATGCTTTCCCTTTTAACTCAAGCTTGTTATGTCTCTCATTTGCAAATGAAATGTCCCAAGTAATAACCTATGTACTTAAGCTTAACCTATGTACAGTGCCTTGGGTAAGGGTGGGGTAATCATAATACATCTCCAGGTCCTCCCACCCAAACCCTGCTCTCATCACACTTGTGTACACTCTGATCATTTCCTGGTTCTACTTTCTAAAGAGGGAGGCAGGAGGGGAAGAAAAGTAAAAATAGTCAAGATGTTACTCCCTAAAAGATGAATGTAAACATTGTGTCCTGCAAACATGTTTGATTTTCTGTCCTTGCTGGTGACCTTGAACCTGTTTTTACAAGCTGATTTACCACCCATTTTGCCTGTTTTCCAATTTTTTTTCACTGTTTTAAGAGTTTATATATGTTCTAGGTAGTATTTGTTTATTAAATATGTGATTTGGAAATAATTTCTCAGTCCATGGCTTGTCTTTTCATCCACTAAATGTGTGGTCTTGCCCGGAACAAGAGTTGTCTGTTTTCAGACATGTCTCACTATGTAGTCCAGACTGGTCTTGCGCTTACTGTGGAGTCCAGGCTAGTCATCCTGCCTCTGCCTCCCAGGTTCTGAGATGACATGCATTGCACCACCACACCCAGGTAAGTTTAATTTTGATGGAATGTAGCTTATTCTTTCTTCTGTGGGTTATACTCTCCACGTCTTAAGAACTCTCCTCAAACTCCAGGTCCCTAAAGTTTTTGTTTCCTTAAAGTTGTAATAATGTGACATATTTTACACTTGAGTCTTGGATCAATTTTGAATTAAATTTTGTATGTGTTCATTACATAATAAACTAGGTAGAAAAATCCAAAGAATTTTTTTAAAAAACAAACCCAGAAACCTCAAAATTAACAAACGAAACTTGGAAGGAATCACTGAGCTCAGTTGGGTCTCCAGGGTACAAGGTCAGCCCATGAGGGTGGGTCAGTTGCATTTGTGGTTGTATAGCGAACATATGGATACTATAAAATCAAAAAACACAAGCCATTTGCAATTGCTCCAAAGAAAGTTAAATGCTTAGACGTGAACTTGTTGCCAACAGATACTGAATCTTTACCCCGAAAAGTACAGCATCCCGGAAAGAATTACGTAGGTGCTGGGCCGCCACTCCCAGCACAGGCCCACTCCCTCTGCAGCACCGAACTCTGCAGGGTGGTCCCCGGGAAGATTCAGGTACCTGGGCTTGGGTATGACAACCAATGCCAGCCACGGCACACCTGCTCCCTGCTCTCCTGCCCATCTCTGTGTGGTCGAATAAACTGTCATTTGGGGCTGAAACAGCCAGAATGGCCCTAGACTTTAAACGTTGCTCACTCTGGTATCAACCTTGAGATTCTCCTGCCTCAGCCTACTGATGCTGAAATTATAGCCCAGAAGTGCTCTGTCACTGAACTACACCCCCAGCTCCTCAATATCACCACCACCACCACCATCACCATCATCATTTGATGCGGTCTCGCTGAACTGCTCTCAAGCACAAGCCGGTTTGGTGTCTTCCCTTCCGCCCCATTTGTTTTTCGGAGGACTGGGTTTCACTCCGGAGATCAGGCTGGTTTTGCACTCACTCTGTAGCCCAGGCTGCTGCGGCGATCCTCCGGCCTTAGCCTTGCACTGCTGGCATTGAGCCGCGCTCGGCTCCAGGCGGACGCGGCCGGCCCTCGGCATCCGCACCAGGCTCAGGCGAGGACCGCAAGGTGCGGGCCGCCTGCGAGCCCCGCCCGCGGCGGGGGAGGGTCCGTTGGGCCGCGCCCACGGCCTGGCCCGGGCGGGCACGCCACTTCCGCCGGAAGTGTAGCTGTGTGGTTTCCTGTCAGCGCGGTCCTGTCAACGTGGAAGCAGTTGCTGCCAAGGAGAGCGCCGCAGCATCTTCCTGTGACCCTCTGCGGTCCGTCTTGGGACTGTCTCGAGTGAGCGTGACACCGGCCCTGGGCGAGGCGGTGTCTGGGCTCAGGCGGGGACAGTTTCTGCCCCGGAACGGAGGCAGCGCGTCCGGAGTTTCCGGGGATCGGGGGCGTCGCACCGCCGCGCCCCGCCTCTGGCCGGCCACGTCTCGCCGAAGCTCCGGGTCCGCGCTGGGTAAGGGCCGAGCCCTTGCGGGCACGGGTTTGCGGAGCGAGCGCCGGGGGGCCACGCGGCGGGGCCGGGGAGAGGGTCGGCGGGGCG